ATTACTGCACAGCGAGTAATATTGAAGCTCTAGTGTAAAGGCAGCCTCTGCTCCATAAATTTCAGTGTGCATAGTAGGAATTGGACTGATGGCAAAGTGCATAATGCAAAGTGGAATGCAAAGGAGTATTCTTTGTAAATGTAATGCTGATTCAAACTTTAAAAAGTGTGTGAGCTTTTTTGGATGCATATTACCCAGTCTGATATTTGCCAAATGAAATAACTAAACCACAAAGAAACAGAGTCACTGATAATGTCTATTTAGTTAAGTTTGCAGAGTAAAACCAGGATCCACATTAGTAAGGGTGTTAGATACAGTTGTTGAAATGCAGTGGCTTTACTTTTTGAAGTGGATGCATTTCCAAGTTCTTCTTAAGAATTAGGTTTTCTTTGGGATTTTTTTTATTAATTACCTTTGTCAGAGAGAAATCAATTGTGCATGAAGACTGGGAATAATGCAGGGACAGATTTCCTTCATGTAATTGCCGTTACTTTCCATAGCAAAAAGAATAATTCATTGTATCTTTACTTAATGTTGTCATAATAGGATTCTGAAAACCCCATTTTCTATAGGTGCACATTTAAAAAAAAATTCAGTATAGTGTAAGTGCTTTAAAAAGAAAATAGATCACTTTGCTTGCATGTTTATGGCAGTATTTGTGAAGCATGTTCTTAAATTCACTACCTTATTTTCTGATTATGTTGCTTTTTCTCCAAGATATGACTCAAATTCAGGTGGTGAGAGGGAGATCCAGCGTACGATGCTAGAGCTGTTGAACCAGCTGGATGGGTTTGACTCTCGTGGGGATGTTAAAGTTATTATGGCCACAAACAGAATAGAAACACTAGATCCAGCTTTAATCAGGCCAGGTAAGAGTTCCACTGTTCACGCTTATCAGGTTCCTTTTATTCTAAAAGGACTTGCCGCAAGGAGCTTAAGTGCTTGACTGTTTTGAAATATTGCTCCTGGTTATTTTGAAGTTTGGATTTTGATATAAGGAAACCAGTCTAGTTCCCTTACCTATCTGACATACTACTTTTGTTAGGGAGGGGTGAGGGAGAAGTAATCTCTTATTTTTACTTATTTATAAATATATAAAACATATATGTGTACATACACAAGCACACACACACACACACACACACACACATGTGTGTGTATTTATTTATTTATATAAAATACTGAGCCAAGAGCTTGAATAGCCATAGGCAGTATTTTCAAATGGCCGCTAAAATAGGTAGCAAAACAGACAACCTGCATAATTGTGTGGGGTTTGCTAAATCAGAAATTAGAAAGTAACAGATCAAACAGATATGCTAAGTAAAGTGTCCTTAAGTAAATCTGACTGTTGAAGAAGTTGTAAAGATACCTCTCTGCCTTACTTTTCTTGTAAGGCAATAGAGCAAAGATAGACTAAGATGAATTTGTCAAAGAACTTAATGCTGCTGGAGCAAATCATCCTCCTCTGAACAGTCACTAGATTTGTATGGACCCAAGGAGTTCAGAAAAGCCTCCACAGTATGAAGTAGCTGAGTTCTTTTACAAAAAAAACTCTGTTTCTTTTCATCCGCTTAGGTTTGCCCCTCCAAATCCAAACAGCTGCTGTTAGAGTACAAAGTAGTAAATACTATACCAATATTAAAAGGCATGCTAGGATGATCTGAAATACGTTGGAAGGAAACTTCCTCCACCTATCACATAGTTAAATTATAACCATTCCTTGAGCAGCCAGGGCAATTTTAGCAGCTCACTAGGCTAGTTTACCACTGTGTACATTAGTCTGGAATATTGTATGTGGTAGCATTCACCCCTTTTGGAAAAGGTACTGTAGACGCAGAGAGAAACAAGAATGATCTGGAGATGGAAACCATCTCTGAAAAGACTCATCACTTACTTGGAACTGTAATGACTGGAACAACTGATGTCCCTAGTAACAAAAAGGAAACATCTGGTAGGAACTTCCAACAGAACCTTTTACACAAAACACTTCTTCAGTTGAGTTTAACAGTTCTACACAGTACCTGTTTAAAAAGAGGTTATTTACAGGAAGGAAAGGTTCTTCATGCTGCCACAATAAATGTGTTTTGTGGCAGAATTATTAAACTCCGTGCTTCAGAGCCAAACCTAGTCTCAGAACAGAATGATTTTTTTTACAAGAACGTATTTGAATGCTTCTCTGCGGTATGACAAATTGGTTTTACGTTTAAATGTGACTCAGAGTTGTGGCTTTTTGTGCTTCCTCGATGAGGTTCCTTTACCTGCGGTATAACAGGCTTACAGAGCAGCAGCATATCTGTGTTTCAGCTATAACAACTTAATGTTAATTATGAACAAAATTGTCTTTGATCCCACTTGCTGCTCTGAAACATGATTGGTTGTGGTGTGCAGAAACAGCTACTGCCACTCCAAACTTGAAATGTACTTCCTGCTCCGTTTCCAATAGCTGCAAGCAAAAAACTAAGTCTGCAAACTTTTCTCTTGCACAGGACGTATTGATAGGAAAATAGAGTTCCCTCTACCTGATGAAAAGACCAAGAAACGCATCTTTCAGATTCACACAAGCAGGATGACTTTGGCAGATGATGTGACTTTGGATGAGCTGATTATGGCAAAAGATGATCTCTCTGGGGCAGATATTAAGGTCTGTATATCACCATTATTTACACTTCAAAACACAAATTAAGTCCCCTGACTCTGTATTTTGAAACTTCACTCATTTCCTGTAGTTACGTCAGTGAGGGACAGCTGGAATGCTTTAAAACATCTTCTGTGTAAATGCCACATCTACTCAGCTTTACAAATGGGAAACTTTTGTCAAAACCCTAATTATCAGATAGCTCCTGTTGATAGGAATATTTACCTGTGTTATCTGAATATGAAATGTTAAAACTGGAATTTTTGTGCAAGACTGTTAATCATTATTCATGGAACTGCAGGATACGAAGCATTTTAGAGACAATGTTGCAAGCAGATGTAAGATGAACTTGTAATTGAGGAAGTTTCAGATACACATAATGTAAAATTTCTAAAGTAGACAGCGTTCTTGCTAGAACTGTCCCACGAGAGAGCTTAACCAAACGTAATGTCACTTTCCTCTATCAGCTCCTTGCAAAAGTGTAACAGCCCCTGCCCTCCGCTCCTTCGTGGGAGGGAAATACTATTATTTTAAAGCTGTCTTTTGTCACAGAAGTGTTAATTCACTACAGAAGGACATAAGCATCCAGCTTTATATAAGCTGTTTTATGTGCTTCAGTGCTTCTGAACAACATCAAACTTAAGAATTTTAATTTTACCAACACTCTTCACTTCCATTAATACAGAATTAGTTTGAGCTATATGAAAAGTCAGCTATCTTTTGGGGTATGGTATGGAGGGGCTGCACGGAGCCAGTAATTAATTTCTTGCTTTCTTTTTTGCAGGCGATTTGTACAGAAGCTGGATTGATGGCTTTGAGGGAACGACGAATGAAAGTAACAAATGAGGACTTCAAGAAATCTAAAGAGAATGTTCTGTATAAGAAGCAGGAGGGAACCCCAGAAGGACTCTATCTTTAAATCAGCTCCATCTGCCTGGGGACTATCAGGAATGTTTCCTCTGGGTGTGAGGACAGCCTCCTGTATAAAACCAAGTAGTCTAGCTAATTCTCATTCTTGAAGAGGCTAAATCGTGGTGGATTGTGGTTTTCAGTCAGTGTAAACACTTCTTTTCTCAATAAAATATTTGTTTGAATTCAGCTGTGGTGTTGGCAAAGACCAGTTACTTAAAAAAATTTTTTTTTTCTGTTGCTGCAGTCAGACTTATTCCAGGAGAATTATCTAATGACATGACTGACAGTGCTTTTCTTAGTGATCCAAACCTATTGCTCAGACATATGGTAGTGTGTTGTGAAGAGCACACAAGCAGGTTCCCCACCTGTTAGTCTGTTAGGCATAACTGTGATACCTTATAAGCACTGCTACTATGTAACTGCCACTGTTCTTAGAAAAGTAACTACTCTTCTAAACTTAAACTGTTGGGACAGTTCACTAGCACAAAAGTCAACTTTGAGTGGCCCAGTGTCTTAAATCTATATATGTATAGATATATGTATATATGTATAGATAGATAGATTTACGTATACACACATACAATTTTAAGTAACATTTGGATACAATTTTAAAGTATCTATCTCTGTGTATTTAACATTTATACTTACAAGAAAGCAGGATGGACCTTTTCGGTATTAGTAGCCTTAGTGTAAAGATCAAAACATGTTTGGATAAACTGCTTTTGCCACTAAAGCATTCATCGATTTGTCTTTTCCAGTACAGTTCCATTATACAAGCATATTTTCTTTACTCTCTACCTTTTTAGAATGGCTTTAAAAAATAGCACTGTAGTAATATGCATGGCAAGACATAGCTGCTGTTCAGTTACTGTTCTTCTACAGCTGCTGAGCATTGTATCTGATAAAGATACATGCTTAGCCTGATCTGTTGAATACATGCCAAGAATGTAAACTAAAAGTCACATACTTTAAGTTAAGTTCTCCAATGTGCTTTTAGAATGCTGTCTTCCCCTCTAAGGTGTTACCTGCAGCTCCTAGCCCTATAAGAGCAAAAAAGACGAGGGATTTCTGTTTTGCTAATTTATATAGTTTTACACATAGTGCTCAGTAAGTACTTTGTGTAGCAAGGCTTCACTAATGTACCTCTAAGTTCTAGCTAGTTCTTTTCCAAATGCTGTACACTTGATTTTTAAATATTTGCTACAAATGTGGTAGGTAGTTCGCACACCTAAGATCAGCTTAACCTCAAGAGTAATGCTCAGTCTGTTTGTTTGTTAAAACCTGCACTGTTGCACAGGAGCATTTCCATGGGGCTTTATCCCATTTAGTCAGACTTTAATTGTATAGTTTGTTGCAAGATCACTGTAGCTGCTTAAAATAAATTCCAGTGAATAGCAATCTGGGCAACAAAAATTATGACAGAAGTATAAAGTATAGCATTTATTTCTTAAGTAAGCAAGTTATTGTTGAAAAGAATAAGAATTTAACTTAATTCCAAACCTGTGTAAACTGATACCACCCACCAAATAAAGGAACCCAGGGTCCAACTGATTTAGAGCACTATAAATTCCATGTATAGATCACAAGCACTTTACAGAGCAAAGACTGTAAGCTTTCTGCAGGAGTAAATGCTGGAGAGTGGTAGAAATCTGAAAGTTACTCATACAGCAATCCCCTTTATAACTGCTAGTGCTGTAACAACAGTAGCAGCAAGGTCACGAGAGCTTTTTCAAGTAAAAATTATCATGTAGCTCATCATTTTCAAAAAACAAACCCTGCATATGAATGGAGCTTTTGTATTTAATCTGGATAACAGGAACCCTGAAATAGAGATGTCTTTCATCCAGAGTTAGAAAAAAAGAAGTTTTATTACCCGTTCCTGCAAACCCAATGAGCTCTGCCTCCTTGGAAAGGTCAGGAAATAAATGTCAGTGATTTTTTAGGCTAGTGCTTTTAAATCATGACAGTTGACCTCATTATTGAGAGGCCCAAGAGCTTTATAACCACAATCAGTTGTTAGTGACAGTTGTTAGTTTTCTCCTGAAAAAACTGAGGGGCAGTTGAGGACACTCAGTGGCTGCAGATACTCTCTTTCAGAGATGAAGATCCAGTTTCTGAGTGCTTGGGTCTCTACTTGTAGAGATGCTAAACCTAGTCTTTTACGTATTTCAGCATCTTCTGCCTTAGAAAATAAACATATAACATAACTAAATTGTTGCCACATTTATTATTTCTCCAGGGTCTTGCCTGTAAAAAACACCGATTCTTGGATAAAAGCTACTATCAAACAGTTATGCTTTGACTGTTACGCCTTTTTTGGTGAGGAATAAATACAGAACTGCCCTCTACTTCTCTCATGACGACAACGTATATTTGGGCAAAAGGGAATAATCAATTACTGCAACTTGTTTAAAAATAAGCTGCTTAGAGACAAGCTATAGATACAACTTTAGTTTTAAAGCATTCTCAGACCCATTAAAATTAAGAAACAAAATAATTCAAATTCCAGCCAAATTTAAAAATATTCTGGTATATTTTCTATAAATATTCATATTAAAATGGTCATCTGTCCACACATACAAATACAAGTCCAAAATAGGTGCTGCTCAAGCAAAGATTTGGCTTTTACTAACAGTTTATTAACAGATATAACTGCTGTTTGACTTGGTAGTTATATATACACACACGCATACCAAGCCGAAGGAAATTACTGAAGTCTGCCAAATGGAGGACAGCAGAGCATCTATTTGGCAGATGTTTATTTCCTGTACTGCTCACTAAACCATAGTTGGCATGTACTGAATCTCCACTGAACTCTAGGGAATGTAATTTCAAACAACAGAATAAGAAACGTGGGCAATGTTCAACAGGAGGGTATTTATAAGAGGGTATCCTTCTGTGGAAGCCAACAATACTTCAGAGAAAATAGATGCATTTTTGCGGGCAAAATGCAGTACTTGATTCCAGGATACTTGCAGCTAGTAGAACTCCATTTTGGTAGCAATTTATAAAATAAGTTTGTTTTGTTTTGTTTTGTTTTGTTTTTTAAAGTACATAGTACCCAAGTCCCAACAGAGCTCTTAGTTGAAAACAGACAGTTCTAACTGCCAGTTTTGGCACTAGCTTCTGTACTTTTTCCATTCTTCCTCTCTTCTTTTAAACCTCTAAAAGGAGATCCAGCTCTTCCATAGGTACCCGCACTCTCAGTTCTTTTTCAGTCATTAGATCAAGTGCCTCTTGCAGCTCATCAGGAAAGTACTCTACTGCATCCATATAGAGTACCTAGAAGGACAATGTTAAAATTAAAAGATTTTTCTCTGCCATCTTTCTATCATAACAAGATACTTAGCAGAAAGGAGTATGTACACATGCAAACAACTCTGCAGCATGAATGCAAGAAAGTGTCATACATTTCTTAAAAATACACAATCAAAATCAGTACTTCTACAGTGACAGCAATATAGATGTCTAGCCAAGTCTTTTCCAACGCTTATTAAACCTCTTTATTCAAAAAGAAGAAATGTAGGTCAAAAGGTGTTGGAGCATTTGTAGCTTACACAGACCTCACTGGGACAGTGTCAGGTGCTCCTGAATAATTTCTTTACCTCGTACCTAAACACATTCTAATTTGCTTCTACATTTTTGCTACCAACACGCTTATCATGAAATACGTTCTGCAGGACAGTCACTTCCAGATCACATAGACAAGAATTTACTATCTCATTTCATGCAGTACAACACCTTTCTGTTCTGAAATGCAAACAGCATTGACTTCTACGCCTGTCTCCCCTTTTGGATGTCTCTCTTGTCTGCAAACAATCTTATACTATTTTTCCTTTGGAAAGCTCTCCTTTCATTTGCATGCAACTCATTATGGTAACTAATAAATTCTTTTTTTTCTTTTTTTAAATATAGAACTACAAAAAGTAGAGTACTGACTATAGTTTCTATGCTTACCTTTGCCCAAGGACAGTTCTGAAGGGCTCTGTAAAATAATCCTTTACTTTTTTCTTTTTTTCCTAGTGAAACCTGTGTGGAAAAAAAAGTGTTCATATTTCAATAAACAGCAATAGCTGAAATAATGAACAATTATCTCCAAGACAGAGAAATTACTACTGAAGAAAGTCCAGTACTCCTCTGTTGAGGAGTCCTTACTACTATGTACTGTGATAGTATGGAATTTGATCAGTTACACCGATGGTTACCTACATAACCGAAGAGGTGTCTTTATGGGGTTTCAGGGCTGCAGTCTTTTAAGACAAGTAATGGAATAAAGACCAGCAGAAAGAGTCTCTGTTTTATATTTCATTTAAAAATCAGTCCCTTTGCTGACATTTGACAGTATTATTGCAATGGGCAAGAGCGCAAACCATTACCCAGAACTTAGACCTGATACGTAGTATACTACACAAGAGCGTCTTGGACACAAGATCTTTTTACAACATGAAATTCTTTTTTTCCCTGGAAGACATAAAATAGCCACGTATTCTTGGATTGCCATCAAGTTGCTATCACCTTCCTTTTCTTCAACTCCACTTTTCAATAAAACATCCTTCCCATGTACATACGGTTTTAGTAAACTGCTATTATATATATCTACACAGACGAAAAGATAAATATTTACAAGCCGTTATTTCCACTGTCTAGAATGCTTGCATGTACAAACTCTGCCACCTGACAGTGAAGGTGATGATACACTATTTTTGTGCACTGAAGGGATCATGTGCCTCTGCCATGTCTTACTCAGAAGCTGGTTAAGGCTGGATCCCCTTATATTCTAAGCATTTCCTCTGCGCACTCATCTTCCACATTGCAATTTAGAGAAGTGTGAAAAGAATCAAGATGACAAAACCACCTATGTGAAGTGGACTTTAGTTACATATTTCCATGACGAACTATGGAAGAAACCAACATTATTACTTTCTGATGTTATTTCGCAGTGAGCCACTTAGTATAACCCTTACATGCAGCTGTACTTCTTTTAAGATTCAAAAAGATGATGAAACTTCAAGGCAAGCTGTAAAAGCCACAGCCTACTAAACATCACCTCTTAGTGATTCAGTTCTTTTCTCTCCACAGGAAACAAGTCTTTTCTAGTCACCCAAAACCATCCTCAATGTCCATTCACAAGAAGTTCACGTTCTGCCTCCTGCTAACCGCCCCCCCACCCCCCCCACCCCCCTGCAAAAAAAGGGAGAAAAAACACCCGCAATCTAACACCTGGATTTCCTGTAGTATTCAATTTCCTGCCAGACACTATGTTTTCCCTAATATTCAAGGCCATTTATTTTGGAGGTGCACTACACCTTTCCTCCACCAAAGTTAATCAAAAACTTGATCTGGGAAAGTTTTTATAGTACGGAGAAAATAACACAGAAGAAAATATTCGAGGAGTCCACATAAAATAGTCCTAATACAAAAATCTGGATCTGAATTGAGCTGAAAAATCAAGTTTCCTTACAATTTCCTCACAGACCTTACAGTATGTCTAAAACTAACATAAACACAAGTCATCTTTGTTCATTTCCTTTAAATAAACAAACAAAAAATCCTAACTCCCCACAATTTGCTTCCTCTTTTCTTATATTTTGTTCCCCTGCCTATTCGTCTCTATATTGTAACACTGGGCAGAAGCCATCCTTTCTCAGATGCTTTGAGAAACTCTTACTATATAATTTTTACCTATGCAAACTGCAGGCGCAATAACTTCCATGTATCTATGCTAAAAATCACTCCTCTGAATCCACATGAATTACACCTTTCCTAATATTCAAAACCGTAAGGAGCATTACGACTTGCAAATATATCACCTTCCAAACGATCTAAGTATGCAGCATTTAGTATTCATTTGTTATACAGTATTGTATTTGCAGTCATGAGAAATTCCACATATTATACATGTGACAAAACTGATGCTCTCCTCTTACCAGAAAGTTCAAATACATTCTCCACAGCAGCGGACAATGGGTGCCACTTTCACTCTGAACTGCGTGTTCAAATAGAGCTACAATCCGATTTGTTAATCCAGTTTCAGGAATAGTAGAATGTATTTCACCAACATCTGCCCTGAAACAAAGAGAAAGAGAAAACAAAAAGAACCCTTCAAACATGAGCCAAAGGATCACATCCAGATGAAGGAGGGTGAGATCAAGTACTCTCACTATTCACATAGTACTGTGTGTAGTCACAGCCCCATACTACAAACTCAGAATGTTACACAACGGATTTGTTGCACCCACTACTCTAGTCGATTGTTTTCCAAATAGGACAAATCAGTTAAAATATGATAAATTTAATATTTTTGTGAAAATTACTTCTAGCATGTTGGAAAATTAACATTGTCCAACTGGAGAAGATCATTTCTCTTTGAGTATAATAACCCACTATCATATAATCTGAAAACACTTACCTCAGTGTTCATGTAAGATGATGTACCATGCAAAGCTCTGCACAGCCACTGAAATTCTAGTCTAGCTCAACAAGCCTCCTTCTAGTGACCAAGCAAGCCTGTTCAAGTTTATCCTGGCACCTTTCTATGACAAAGTATTCCACACTATGCAGGTCTTGGATCAAGGCCTAGATTCAGCTCTGGATCTCGACTGTGATTACAATAGAGAACCATTTTCTTTTTCACCCAGTAATATAAATACCACAGGTTCCGTGCATAATACAAAAGGAGAATCTTAGGTGCATATTTTTCACTGAAGCATTGCTTTCTATCTACTGCTGAATGAACCAGACCAGCTTAATTCTGATGCCTGAGTCAGAAGAAAGCCTGCAGCGCTCATGGCAGTATCGCTACCGTCTGCGTGCACCCTCCTAGCCTGCCAGCTTGTTCCAATCATGCTTGACACTTCCTCCTAACTTGCCTCTTTTTTTCAAAGGCCTTTGAGCTCATCCTAATCTCAGCCATGAGGAAAAATGACGTAGTCTAGGCTGCATGGAATCAGGCATTTGAAGCACTGTATGTCACACTGTTTTATATATAGTACTATTTTACCTTTCACGTCCATTTCTTTAAATTAATGACATGCACTGAAATAAGCAATAAATAAGCAAATAATAATAAGCAAACCAGAAAACAGCAAATAAATAAGCAAACCAGAAAACAGAACAGGAAACAGTCACGCTTATTATAGACATTGTCTTAGTTTGTCACAACATTATAAAACATTATTTTTACGCATGACTGACAAGCCTTTTCTCTCTCTTTTGCAGCAGTGTAGCTCTGCTCTTGCAATATCTGACTTAGCCTTTCCTATAGATTATATGTGTATCGGCCCATGTTAGCAGAAGACAATCTGAAAGAGAACTAAATGCTGCAGAGAAAATCATCACATCAGAATTTTTACATAAAATTCTAGTAACATTAATGAAAAATCTAACATAATTAACAGAAAAACAAATAACACTGTATCAATCCTCCTTTACATTCAGTGGCTGCAGAATTCTTACGTCAATTTAGGGTCACGTTACAATGACAACTCAGGAATGTCACCGTCTATTGCGCTGTGCATGCCTACTGCCAGACTGTCGCAATCAAAGCGGAGGGTACATCATCGTTTTAAAGTATACTGATAATAGTGTAATTTCAGCAAGTGCTCATATTGTAAGCTTACAGCTATGTAAAGCTTCCTGATAACATTTTCCTAGAAATCTCTGTTGCTAAATGCAGACACAAAGAACAAAGCTGCCCCAGTTAGCAGAGATATGTTGGTAGCATTGGATAGGTAGCTCCAAGCAATGGCTAGACAACAGTTAAAAGAGACTACACTTTTAAGAATGAACACATACCTCTGTTCCCCACATCTACTCACTCTCATCTCCTTTCCCAGGAGCAAAAAATCTGCTGCGCCCAGACCACACTGTGAACTCAGGAAATTTGCAGTCTCTTCTACATAGCAACAGCTCCATATAAAGATTAAACTCTCAAGTAATCACTATGGAAACAGACAAATCTGCTACAACTGCATTCTGAGATCCAGGAGTAAAGCACGGCAGCAAGCTCAGCAAGAAACTGAAATGTAGCTCTGTATTACACTCCTTATTTCTGTGGTATTAAAATTCAGCAATTTCTAAGCTAATGAGGTCTGCTTTGGTCATCCAGGCAGACTTTTACTTATTTAAAAAATTACTTAAAGAAATGATATCTTGGTATCAGTGTCAAGTAATCAAATCAACAAACAATCCAAACTAGGAGAAAGGACGTGAGACTACAGCCAAGGTCTTGAATTCCATTCAGGACTTTGCCACTAACTCCCTGTCCAGTCTTGAACAAAAAAAATCTTCCCTAGCCACAGTTTCTTCATCTGGAAATGAAAATAATGATAGCATTTCCCTTCCTCTGTTAAGTGATTAGACAGACAGACCAAAAAAAAAAAAAAAAGGCATAATTGTAAGGAGCTCCAAGGTATTACCTTTGGACATTCTCAATGAGTTTTTTTCTCATCTGCTCTGCCTGGATTGCAAACAGCCATGGCTCTAAAGAGTCAGTAGACCTTGTGACACTATCAAAAAATCTTCGTGCTCTGCTAGCGTTGTGAGACTTCCTTTGGATCTGGATATATGACCTCCAAAGAGACTGGTTGCTAGGATACCGTTTCAGAGCCTCCGTTAGTGCCTCTCGCAGAGGATTCAAAGGATAAACACCAATTTTCATGTGGAATCTGAGTAAGTTTGTATGGAGCAGTGTGATAGCCTCAAGAGCGGTGGGGACATTTTGAATGCTAAGATTCTTTCCAGTATTTTCACGTTTCTTTGGATCAGGAACTTCAAGCTTTTCCGAAGCTCGTGCATATATTAGCACCGCAGCATCAATCCCAACAGTCAAATACTGGAAAATTGCATAACAACCAACCAAGTTAACCAGCTGATTAGAGTCATTGACCTGATCCTGATCAGCAACTGGGGTTTTATTTAAATAATCTTGCAACGCATGCTCATACGTTTTCCTAGCTTTCAAGATATTAACGGATAAAACTTGTCCACTATAAGGCACATATGGCCCACTTTCAGCCAGTTTGGTCAATGTATGAACAGCACGTGACATAACAGCTCCTTCTAGACTTTCTAGCAGTTCCACTTCCAGCTGAGCATAGAGGAGACTCAGACTGCAGAGCTGGGGATTCTTCATTCCTCCTGTCCCTGCCGTACAAAGAGCTGTATCAAATACCTTCCTAGCATCATCAATGTTACCAAGCAGCCATTCGAGGTAGGCATACAGTTTCCAGAGGGAAATGTGATTTCGGTTGTCAGGTGCTTTAAGGAGATTCTTGGCCAATTTTTTACTTTTCTTCCCTTGTACCTTCAACTTCTTCTTGTTTTTTGTTTGGAGACACTGAACTACCTGCAGCGGAGAATAAATAGAACAAATTCTGAGAGGTGTGGGAGAAGGAAAAAAAAAAAAATCACATTATTATTTGATTTCATTACTGTGTTTGTTTTCATATCGTTCCACATTTCACCACGGGACAGATCTGTTGCTACTGAGTACTGTAAGTTGTCAGAGCTGCCTGTTATCAGCAATAAGCCACTGCAGCAGATTTCCGAAGGATATGAAATGGTCTGTCAACTTCTTCCAACATATCCAAATTACACAAGTTTATCAAACTCACTCGTAAAACTGCCATTAAATAATATCAAATTTCACTCTTTAAAAGAGACCAACTGCTCAAATAAGGAGCTGCTAACCTGAAATGGTCGAGAAGAGAAAAACAAATGATCCTGTATGGTCAGATGTAATTTATGACTAACGCAATTAAATCTCCAAGTAGTTTTTCACAGCACAAAATGTGCTGACAGACAAAGCCAAAGACTGACTGAGAAGATTACAGGAGACCTTCTCGTTAGGGTAGGAAGACTTTGGGTAAGGGATAGGGAACTTCTCCATAAGAGTAACACAATACTAAAATTTCTGAAATGTTCAAGTCAGGAGGATACACTTCTCTCTCACCTCCTTCTGTGGGCAGGCAGCAGAGGAGTTTTTACGTAAATAAATGCATTTTCAAGTGATGAGGTGTTATTTCCTTCAACAACACTGTAAATGTAATTTTTATAGGAAGCAGTAAGTTTCTTGATATAGCACAGTACTCATCACAGCACTGGGGATTATGCATTTTGTAGAATAGTCTGATGATGAGTTATTGACTCACTCGCTTTGACTTGCAAAAAATTACTTGCTTCCATTCTGTCTGGCATAAAAAGCATCATATAGCAGTAGAAATATAATAACATTTACTTAAGACTGCAAGAAATATTTTATTATGTGAAAAATCATATGCCATTGTGTAACATGTACTAAGGAACAGGGTTTTGTTTTTCTTTCCCAGTATAATCTTAACTAGCATGCCCCGACTTAAATACTCAGTCTTACAAGACTTAACTTTCTCAGTATCTATTTTAGTTAAATACAAACATTAATATATAAGAAAACCACACGTCACAAAAGGGATTAAATGCAGATTCCTCATTACCTTAGATATTTCATACTGTAACCAACAAATGGACAGATTACATTTTTCCTGTCCTGAAAATAGCAGGAATAGAACGTGAAAAACATTCTGTATGAACTCCTCTCCTTCCTTATAGTGGCCTATGTGATGTCTCCTTCTCAGTATTGTATCCATATGACCAATACTGCAGAACCCAGAAAGTTGCAAATCAATAGAAGTCAGTGGCTTTTCATCAGAAAGCACGCTGTCAAAAATGTTATTTTCATCCATGGCGACATAGAGGCTTGAAGGAAAGAGTCTACTTGTGCATGGGACTCCCAGGAATTGCAAAAATGAGTACAGTAGTTGACACTGAAGATCAGGAGTAGAAAGTTGGATTAAAGATGGTCCCAGATCATCAAATAACACCTAACACCAAAACAAACTCAGTTAATTTATACAATCAGATAAAATCAAATCTTTAATTTATGTAATTATTTAAAGAAGTTTTCAAATCAATAAAAATGTATAGTTACTATTAAATGTTAAAGGAATTTCATTCAAATTAACAACAGACAAGCTGAATAAATAATGCATTCTTCCTGTCAGACTCTAAATCTGCTAACAAGGTATTCCTTTCTTCTGCATTATCGAGGACCTCCAAAGGCAACTTATACGACGAGGTCTAAAAATATATAGTTTATGCTATTTAATTCATTTTTATTTGGAAATCAATGTCTGATTTGACCTATTTCCCAAGAATAAAAAAAAAAAGGCAACAAAATCTCTGCTTATTTAAAGCAGATATCATTTTAAACACAGATTTCTACATTTTCACATACAGACGAGGGAAATCACATAACAGCAAGGATAGACTATCTGCCTATAGCCCTTTCCAGAGTTCACCATGAGCTTGCCACGGATTTCAGCAGTCTCAGCAAGAAACCACAAGTGAAATGTGATTTCCAAACAGAAGAAGAAAATAATTATTCCTCCAAAACAGCCACTGGCAATGAAGTCGTATCTAAGGATAATATGTCTTAACAGTGACCTGTCTTTCTGGATCTTCACAGTCTTCCTCAGTCTGCTTTTTGGTTTTGTCTGGCCTCCAAGGTAACCAATGCCTTGCTTCCCGAGAATATTCAATATCCAGCCAAATTTGCCATTTTGGTAGAGTTTTATTCTTTATTTCTTGATCCTCATCTATCTCTTCATCATCATCATCTATAACAAAAAAAAAAATCAGAGTCCCCCAAAACCACAATTATTAAAGAAAAACTAATCTACCAAATCCAAAGACCAGACTTGACGTATGCACTGACTACTCTGACAAGGGAAACAAATACAGTGTTATTAGAACAGATATGAAACAGAGCTGAAAATTTTCACATGAGCGTTTTGGGTTTCGATACTAGGAGGTTTCCAAGCTTTTTGAACTTGGATACTGATCCAAGTGCATCAGTTTCAGCACTGACAGAGTGACTTTCTCACAGACCAGATAATAAGCCACCGACTGCTAGTGGTTTCCGCTGGGGGTCAATACTGGATCCAGTATCGTTCAACCTACTCATCAGTGAGCTGTATGAAGAGACAGAGCTCCTCCTCAGCAAGTTTGCCAATGATACAAACCTTGGAGGAGTGGCTGATAGCCCAGAGGGCTGTGTTGCCATTCAGAGGGACCTGGACAGGCTGGAGAGTTGAGCGGAGAGGAACCTCATGAAGTGCAAGGTCCTGCACCTAGGGAGGAATAATCCCATGCACCAGGACAGGCGGGGGGCTGACCTGCTGGAAAGCAGCTCTGCCAAGAAGGACCTGGGAGTCCTGGTGGACAACAAGTTGACCATGAGCCAGCAGTGTGCCCTTGGGGCCAAGAAGGCCAATGGGATCCTGGGGTGCGTTAAGAAGGGTGTTGCCAGCAGGTGGAGGGAGGTGATCCTGCCCCTCTCCTCAGCCCTGCTGAGGCCACATCCAGAGTACTGAGTCCAGTTCTGGGCTCCCCAGTACAAGAGTGACATGGAGCTCCTGGAGAGAGTCCAGCAAAGGGCTACTGAGATGACGAAGGGATTGGAGCATCTCTCCTATGAGGAAAGGCTGAGGGAGCTGGGACTCTTCAGCCTGGAGAAGAGAAGACTGAGGGGGGATCTGATCCATGTGTACAAGTATCTGAAGGGAGGGTGTCAAGAGGATGGGGCCAGACTCTTCTCCGTGGTGCCCAGCGACAGGACGAGAGGCAACGGGCACAAACTGAAACACAGGCAGTTCCGTCTGAACAGGAGGAAAAACTTCTTTCCTGTGAGGGTAAAGAGAGCACTGGAAGAGGTTGCCCAGAGAGGCTGTGGGGTCTCCTTCCCTGGAGATATTCAGAACTCACCTGGACACGATCCTGGGCAATGTGCTCGAGGTGACCCTGCTTGACCAGGGGGGTTGGACTAGATGATCTCCAGAGGTCCCTTCCAACCTCAACCATTCTGTGATTCTGTGACTGGCTGCAGGCTACTCTATCAACTGCAGTTTGCAAGCAACAGCCAAGAGCCAGTCATCTTTTCATGCAACTTAGTTTGCCCAGGCAACTTCAAACTTGAAGGAAAGAACCAATCTCATAGGTGCTTTATGAATATTGATGTGCATAAACCATTTTGAAAAACGCACTGTAAGTAAAAAGTATTACTATGATATTAAATATCAGAAAAAAGACTGGTAATGTTGCTCTAAACTACCTGAAATTTTCAGCAACATTTTAATTAATGTGTAATAGAACCAACCAATGCAGTCAAACACACACAAAATGAAGTGTTTAACCATATTCCTCTTTTATGATAATCATTTTAGACTGTTAGATGCAATTAGTGTATTTTTCCTGTGACAGCCATGTATTAATTCTGTGCTGAAACTGATGAGCACTTCCTGAAAAAACGTGTATGCTAATGGAAGGCTGGTAGAGACTTTTCACAGTTTTGTTGTTGTTGTTCAGAAAAAGTCCTCAAAGTTTATGGTTAACTACACTATTTTTTTTTTTTGAAAAAAATCATTCTTCTGATCTTACAAAGCCACTTTTGCACCACTTCCACATTCCGTTTCCTGACACTTGCCATCAACTGAGGTGAAACATTCCCCCTCCCCAAATTTCAGATTAAAACAAAGACAAACTGATAGTGGCAACTTTTTTAATTTCTGTGCTTCTTCTGTGATCTACACCCTGTCCTTTAGCCAGATCCACTATGAAAAATAGGAATATTTCCACCATTTCTAACCAATTAATCTCTAATCAGGTCTCTAAGACGGTCAAACCTTTCCAACTTTTGGACTGCACACCAATGGTAAAAATATTGATATCATATACGCTGGATCTGCTCAAGAGTCCACACCCATCAACACTGGAACTGCTGACCTCAGTTCAGGGGCAAGGAAATTTCATCTTGGCCCAGGGACAAGGGAGGCAGAGGAGCATTTCTCACATCCCCACTTCACTCGAAGAAGAGGAGAACTTGCTCCTTAGGGGTTGCTAATGCAGCAGGAGCAGCAAAAGCAGTGCTAGCTCATCTTTGGTCAGGCATGTTCCAGCCCCCTGCTCCGCTACAAGATGTATCTGTTTGAGGAATAGTCCATGAGATTAAGGGAAGGACAGATTACTGTAGACCAGAGGGCAGGGTGGGACTAAGCAGCCAGGAGGCTTTTTCTGTCTCCCTTGCTGAGGCAATAGCCTTCATTTCTGCATGGTCTCTATGATAGCAGCAGTCCACCCAGGTGGAGAAGCAATTACTTTGTCCTCTGTGTCACACAGAGAAAGGGAAGGTTTTCCTCCTAATTCTGCTATGTTGTTTGCTGTAAGAAACTGAACTCTTCAGACATATACTCTTAGAAACAGAAACAAACTATGAATCCGTCAGGCAACTATAGTCTAACGCTGTAATCCCAACTAGTCTATCAATACGATGAAGAGGATCTTAAGGGATAGTAGCTTCCTTCCACCGAAGATGGGCATGGGTCTCTACCTAAGGGCTCACATGTCTAGCTTTTTCAGAACAATGTGGGGAATATGCCATCCCTTCCCTCAATTTTCATCACTGGAAAGGACAACAATATTCCATGAGCAATATGGCACATAGAATACACAAAACAGATGCTTTTCCTCCCAAGCGTGATATAGTTTATCTTCATCTTGGAAAAAGTTTTTGAAAACTTGTATGCAAAAACATGAGAAAAAACAGCAAACGTGAGAAAAACAAACTGTTTAGAAGAACACATGGAGAACAACTACACATACTGATATGGGCGTACCAGACTTGGTAACAGCTATCCAGCCACCCTTTTCTTGTTGGTGCATCCATGCTCTCCAGCCTCTTGCTCCTTTCTCTCCAATTCGAGGTTCTCCACTATCCCAGAATGGTTCAAAGAATTCCACCTGCAGTTTAGGGGGAAAAAAACCCCAAAAAACACATATATAGAGAAATCATTTTGTACAAACACTAACTGGGTCAACTTTTTTTCCAATACATTGCTAAGGGATCTGATAATCATTTATCAAATTTCAAACAATTCTGGGTCACATATTTCAGCCCCTTATCATGGTATTACATCAAAGAGCACATGCAGTTATGGGCACTAGAACCCAAAGTAGGTGCACATGTGAATGCCTACTTAAGATGAGGAGCTTGAATGTACTGCATAAAATATAAGGTGACAAAAAGGGAACTGAGGCACTGGAACGGACTTTTAAAATACACCAGAAACATTTAACGAAAACACCCACTGTGGCAGATAGCAATGTGCCAGTGTTGAGTTAAGAAAAAAAAAAAAAAAAGACATTACTCAAAATGACACCAAGTCCATCTCCTCTCAAGCTTTGCCTGAGGAAAATACATGCTTGTTACTTAGGGATTCTCCTGTTCCATGAAGTCCACTGCAATCTGCATCGGCATGCAGCTTCTACATCTAAAGACCTTGTCAGATGCTGCATAAGAATCTGCAAGAACAGCTGAGTATTTAGGTTATGCTGTGGCACAGCAGAACTGTCATCAGCTCTCATGAACATAAAGATCATTTTTAAAAGGTATTTTAAGGTAAGAAAGGGAAGAAAATAGAAGACTTCTGTGCCATATGTCCTAGCAAATCCTTCAAGGATAAGCATATAAAGCCCCCAAGATGTGGCTCTCAGAATTCCTCTCTCTCCTTTTCCCAATTTCGCCTTTGCTCTGTCCCGATCTCCATGGAACCATGAAGAATTTGGCTAAGGGAACGATGACTTAGACAATCATACGCCTCTGGTCAATCAAGATGTTACAGCTGGGCATAAATTTGAGTGGACTGAGGAGAAGCAGCACAGATCAGTAAGGGATTTCAACAGCAGCTTCATGACACTTTCCAGGGAATCAGGCGGTCAGGGTTCTAGTCTTGACTTTGTCACTAGCTGTGTGCAATCTGCCATCTTTGGATTTATCAATTTCTCCCCCACTTTGTGTACACTTAGCTTTAATGACAGTCTCTCTCCTAGTATATGTATCTGTTATGTCTCACTCACAGCTCAGTGCCCAAGCCAAGGTCTGGGACCTAACTATTAACAGCAAGGTATCAGCAAATCTGTGGTTTACAGCAACTGCAAAACCTACATCTACTCCTTATGGATTTATTCTTTACACCAAGTGTGAAAGCGAACGGTGAAAACAGTAAGGAACCAAGTAATTCAAGACTGAGTCATAATGCCTCTGTAAAAGGGCAGAATTAAAGTTGTGCAATTAACTGTAAAACTGGCATTTTCCTATTTTTCAAGAACTGGATCTTCCAATCTAAACAATGTCCTTTTAATCAGAGTTCCTCACCATCCTGCTTTATTAAGAGTTTTTTTAAATAATACAGATGTTACAGTTTCTCAAATAACTGGACGAGTAACTCAAATTGCATTTGTGTAATTATACCAAAACTACCATCCTGCATCATAATTACCATTGAACTCTAAATCCTTGGCACTGTAAAACGACGCTACTACTATTTCAACTACAAGACTGCTCCATTCGTGAGCAGCAGCACTAATCTATAGAGAGCAAGGAACGGACTGCTGAGTCTCAAAAGTGGTTGCTAGGAGAGAACGTGAGGAGATGAAAGGAAAGAACCCGGCCCAGTTTCCGTATAGTAGCTCAAGTGTCCAACTGCTTTCCCTCCCTACCTCTTATCAAGAAGGAAGCAACACCCAAGAATTCAGTGGGTTATGGATGATGCTACACTGGCAAGAGCCTGCTTTCTGAATACTGACTGACTGATTATTATTAGGGTGCACCCCCAATGTTCTTCCTGAGCAAATCAAGAGAAAAAGTGATTTAATTCTTTAACAGAGTAAGCGGAATGAAATTTCACGGGACAAATAAAAGACAAAGTACGACAGTGTTCCTAATGTAGCTGTGAAAGAATTACAGAAAACAATAGACAAAGGAAAACCTTAAAACTGGTTGCAAGTATTGTCTGGAGCAGAAATTGATTACAGTTCCTTATCAGCTTCCTCCATCAGCATCAGTAACAAAACAAAGCCAGCAATTTTAGGGGAAAAAAAAGGCAAGGAAACTGCTAACTATACAATAATAGACAATACTAGTATACAATAGTAGACAGCAGTGCAAACTATACGACAGTAGACAGACTTTAGTCAGTCAGCTACATTTTTTCCATCTTTAGTTAGTAAGAAAGAAGACAAGAGATGACTGGTTACCACACTTCCATTATATAGAGTAGAAATGGTTATTTAGCACGTAGTTCCCGAATACAGAAGCATTTCTCTGCAGTGGAAAAATGGTGGGACTACCTTGAAGAATCCCAAAGTAAGTTGCAATTCAAAATGTTATTCCTTGTCCTTAAAAGTTCATCAGCAATTTTTTTTACAGCATTCTCTGTAATGCACAAGGACATAAACCCATTTAAATGGAAATTGCTACCTGTCCCCTTGTTGGCAAATCTTTTACACTGTCAGGTTTAAAGAAGGTGAAGTCAATCAGAGCCTGAAACAAAGACACCGCCTTCTCAGAATGGCCAGCCTGTCTCAGAAAATGGCACTGCTGAAGAAATATAGCTGTAAAATAAAGGAGAGAGAATTTTAATATTTCACCAGAAAAATTGTGGAAAAGTGTTTTATTACAGCTCACAAATATACAAAAGACATACATGCTCTGGCAAGAAGAGCTGCAAAGCTTAGCTGTTCTGGAACATTATCAAAACCCAAGACTAAAACATGGAGTAACTCTCATGAATGCATGTCAAAATTGTTGTAGTTTAATCAACTTTCACACCTTCCACTTCATATGTGCCAAATTCATGCCACACACGTACTGCACTTGTTGATGAATACAAGTTATACGTAAGACTCAACTTCATTTTATCTAGCATCTGTCACAGTGCGTCACAGCCCTCCTTGGAGACGCTGGGCATTATTACAATTCACACAGCAAGTCAATACAACAAATACTTTTTGCCTCATTTTTGCACAAGATAGTTACATTGGCAATCTATTTGGTAATAGCACATTTTCCTTCTAGCTGTGGTCATTTTCTTTTTCTTTGTGTAAGACTTTAGTTAAGAGAAGTCTGGTCTTTTGGCCAAAGCACTAATGTTTGGGAGTAGAGAAGAGTCCTACCTCAATTCTTCAATAAAGTATTTCTGTAATCATTGCTATATCCCTATTACATACTGAGCCTCGTGCCCCAGTTTACAAAGGGAAACAGAGCCTCAACTATTTATTTATTTATTCATATATGAATTCATATATTTCCAATTTCATCTTAAACAACAGAAGTGGAGAAGTAACAAATATTATAAAAACTTCCACTATTAGGCAATTCAAAGAAACTTCAAAGATATTCCATCACTCCAAATTACATTCAAGCCTCAACAAAAGCACTGTTTGTTTTAGGAATGAAGTACTTTAAATCATTATTAGTTTGCAAAAAATTTTGTTTATATCAAGATTTAAATAATTCACTGATAGTTTTGAAAATATTTATTCAAAAGCTATTGTTTCTTCACTAAATGCACGGGGTTTTGAGGTTTTTTTGCCAAGCAGGAAAATTTAAGTGTCTAGATACACACATGTAACAACACATGTAAGTTAGCATCTATTGATTGTGATGATCATCTCACTTTTTTTTTTTTTTTTTTTTTTTTACACAAGGAAATGGCTAATATTTTACTCCTTTTACTTTCTATTCGGATTTAGGTCAGATACATAGACAAAAAAATTTGAATTCAGCTAGAATATACAAATTAGGTATTTTTCTAGGATTTCCTGCAAAGGAACTGTTTTTCTTCTGATCACCAAGAATCAGTGAGATTTTCAAAGATATTTAAACAACAAAGAGTATGCACAAGCCTTAATAGACTTTTGCAAAGCGTTTAAACCAATTTAGACACTTTCTCCAACAATTTCAGTATCCACCTGCCACTGAAAATTTTCTTCTTTCCTCGTTTCTTAGCTTCCCCTAGATAAGTAGTAGGTATAATTTGAAAAACAGACGTTTTTCCACAGCAAAACTTGAGAATGCTTATTTTTCCATTTACTTTATAATAGCAGAACCTAGTAAATTTAAAATATTACAAATGTAAATCTTAATCAAAATTTGAAAAAAACCGGATCTAGACTTTTTAAACAATTTTTACTTTCTTTCTTAATTTTCATGATTTAAAAACCTTGCATATACTTACAAGCAGCATCGTATTGAATATACAGCACTACCGTATTGAATTGAACAGTAGATGGCATAGTCCACCACTACTGAAAAGCAGCTCTTAAACTCTGTCAAACATTGAGGATACAAGCGTACCATACATACACAATACTACTCCCTTCATAATTAATTTGTGAAACCCATTGTATATTTATCTGAATGGACAATTTGGTAATTTTACTAATAAGTCAAAGGACACTATCAGCTCAAATTCAGCCCAAGAATTACAGAGAGTTGAAGCACAAAAAAATTCCAGACTAGTGGAAGTCTCCCCATTCCTATTATTCGAATTCCAAAGGAAATAACAAAAATGTGCATAAACAAATCACTGTAGTGTTAACACATAAGAAGAAAGTAAGAGTGACCAGAAACAAAAGTAAAATTAAGTCCATTTTCATTTCAACCTATACATTGTCAACAAACAAAACAAGTTTTATGAAAAATATCAGTCAACCTAATATAATAAACTAGTTAAATGGATCCTACTGAAAATCAATTTTCTCATACCAATTGAAAAACAATATTTAAGCAAGCCAACTATGTTCCAGGAAGAAAATAAAAGAAAGAAGAAAATCCTTCCCGTTTGAGAAATAAAGGCTCAGCAATACATGTGTCCTGAGAAACATTCACTGTCATTGGTGTAGGAAGTGACTTAAGTGTCAGAAATCAGAGAAGGTAGAAGTAATTAGAGGCTATCAGGCAGTCCAATATCCACCTGCAAGCACAAGATTTTTCCTTTACAGCACATTTTCCAGTGCTTGATCCAAGATGACTCGAATGAACACTGTAAGAGATCTGAACACTTGAAATTAGTTGATAATCCAGCAACTCAGTCTTTAAGTCCAGACAGGATATCGCACAGTAGAGAACTGAACAGTGATTCCTTGGCCTACACCACGTATGAAGAAAGGTGAACTACATCCTCATAATATTCTCCTCTAGTTTTAGAACAAATTTTAAAAGAAAAAAAATCCATACTCATGGATATTTCCCCCCTCAGTGTTTTTATAGATTAATAATCACAACGACCCTTTGAGGTAGAGAAGTCAAATGAACTGAAACAGAATAGGTTAAGTCATTTGGCTCCAAATCAATATAAAGCTTGTGCCAGAACTAAGCATGAACCCATTTCTTCCCTGGATGCAGTCCAGCATCCTAACCATCTGACTTATTTTCCTTCCAGGGATAATTATATAATAAATTATAAATATATGTATACAATAAATACAAAAGACATCATCACATGACACTACAGTGTAGAATTCTGAATCTACTAACAGGATTCTCAAGAAAATTTCACATCAGACTTTCCATTATCCTTCAGTTTTCTGGATCAAGGTAATTAAGTATGAAACTTTTGAACAGGAGATAATTGTTTCTTTCATAGGCCAACCGTTTTTAAATCATTTTTCAAAGACAAAAGCACATCTCTTTGGTGTTGGCTGCAATTCTCTAGCCTTGACATTTGTACTATAAACCGCGCAGCACCACATTAGACTTTACTGAATGTTATATCACAAACTCTCCTGGGGAAGAGAAGCATCTGCTACATCCATATTTGGTTGGAATATTTGCTTTAATTCTCAGCTAAGGATTCAGGATGCCAGACATCTTGAGGAGAATAAAAATCTCCCGTAATACATAAGAAAACCTCTTCCTATAGCGAATGCAGTCAATTCCTAAAAAGAGCTTTCTGACCATAACATAAAATAGATAAAAAGCAGCTTACCTAACATAGCTTCTTCTGTGCCAGGCAGTAGTGGATGGGATACCATACTGCCATCATGTACAGCTGCTAACGTCGTCAAACATTTTCCATAGAGACTATTGATTTTTGAAACAGTAAAGGTACTGAACTGACTTTGACAGAACAGGAGATATTTCTTCCACAGGTCTGGATTATTGGGATGTAAGAAAATTAACTTCTGCCATTCTTTGATCAAAGCTGGCGGTTCCCAGAACTCTGTGCAAAGCTTCAGTCTGGCGAGTTTCAGATCAACATTACTTGGATTGCTTTCAATAGCCTTCTCTAAAATAGCCAGTTTCTTTTCCAATATTAACTTCAGTGATTTTCTCCTTACTTCCTGCTCTCCCTTACTGGCATAAAGGCCAGGTCCTCTCATTAATTCATCCTTAAAATAAAACAAAAATCACAACAACATTAGGAAGAACCACCAGTAGAATCACTAGAAGAATGTTGACCTTTATGAAAGTGAATCAACAGCTCGTTCTTTACCAGTAAACATATGCAGTTCTAAAAAAAGGAAACTACAATATAATGCTCTTGTATTTGTTACTACATAGCGAGTAGTCAGATCTGTCAGAAACATACCTGAAAAGAAACAAATTCCATCCAAGCATCAATATCTCTTGGGTTTTCTCTAACCTTCTTGTTATGCTCTTCCACTTTTGACATTAGAATGGAGTTAATATTTGTCCCAGGCTCTTGGAACACCTGCTGCTTTACAGGCTCGAGGTCTGTGCCCTTGCACCCTTTTCCTTGCAGCCACATTGTAGTAGATGGATCATAAATCCCAAGAGGATTCACCTCTGTTGTGTCAGAAGGATCATCAGTTTCCATTTGGGAAACTGGTATAAAAGCAGTGGGGTCGGATGGAGAACTTTTATTGTAAACAGGAATCCCATCTGTGTTCAGCATCTTCACATTGTTCTTTGTGAAATAGCGCTCAGGTTGCCTCTGCGATCGCTTCTTTTCTGATGCAGAACTGGCCCAAGTTATACGTTGTTTCTTCACATCTATGCCAAGACAGGACTCTCCTTTCCTTTTATATCTTGTATGGAAACATACAGTTAGCCTCTTAAAATACACATGCTAGAAAAGATACCTTCTTTTCAAAAGTAAGCTTGAATGGAGTACTTCAATTCAAAGTGATCCACATAACTTTCAAAGCTCCATGTACACATTAAGAAAAAATTGGTATCTTTATCTTATTGAATGCTCCAATTAAATTTTTTTTAGTACCATCAGAATTTTTATTATCATACTACGTTTCCTCTGACTTAAACGGTATGTTAGTGGAAGAAAAATAATTTTTTCCTCCTATGATTTTAAGCCATTCTTCTCATTTAGACAAACCTGGAGAAAGCACAACAGACGTAATATCATTTAAAGCTTCTAATAAGATGAGATCATCTTAAATTGATTAATCAGACACCAGTAGTTCAGTCCTATAATTAAATCTCACAAATCTAGTGTGAAATAATTATTACCTTCATTTTCCCTTTTAGACATAGAAACAGAGCAATAAAGAGATCAAAAAGTACAACTGCACAGATGCTAGCTGGCGCAGAACCTAGGATTTCTGACCTCAAACCCATGCTTTCATATATGTCCCAGAGTGCCACCTCCAAACGGCAGTTCTACAAGTTCACATACCCGCAGGCCACTACACAGTAAATACTTTTAGAAAAATGAAAGAGAGGCACTTTATTTAATGACATCTTTTGACTTTTAAAATATTTCCACTCAATATAAAGTTAAATTTTGACATAAACTATTCAGATACTTGTTATCATCTCTCTCATTCTCTCTTCAACATAAAAATTTGAAAATTAAACTTTTCACAACCAGACTGAAGTTAAAGAATCTTGAGATAGCTTGAGTTCCAATACAAACCAACATATTGTACCTTGCTATGTCCCCTCGATATAGGGATTTGTAGGCCCAGTTCGCAGGGTCTGATTTCTTGTCTATTCTGAACGTTTCTGCTGAGAAAGCCTGGATATCATCAAGCCAAACAAAGCGACTGCTGGTAAGATTTGATGTTTTATCATCTAGACTGAAGAAAAGGAGAAGTATTTTCTAAATATTTGTGCCACATATGCAGCATTTACAAAACCATAAAATGTTGCATTTCTGTACTTCATAGTAATTTACTCAAAGTCATGATACATGAACCATTATTGCAAAGTTAGTCATACACTGGCAAACAACTGGAAATATGCTAATGGGATAATAAAACAATTAGTTAAAAAAAAAGCAATCACTCATTGCATTTCCAGGACTTCCAGGATTATTAAAGGTAATAACCAGGTTTAAGCAATTGCTTGGTAAACTATAATCTAAAATTGTGAGTCTGATTGTTTTATCAAAGGCATGGGATAAAGTACAAAGCGGTTCATAGATGACAGTTCAAGAAATAAATTTAAGCGGAAATTGCCATCTGCCTAAGAACTGCAGGATACTTCGAACTCCTCATGTGAATTCATGTCCCAACCGAGTTCTATAGTCTTGAGAAGCTTTCTAAGATTTCATATGACATACTGCACTTAAAAGCCATTTTGTGGCTCAGGTTCCAAAGGGTACTACAGATGTTCTTCCACACGGAAACAATGTTATCAGCCCTGGGCATAACTACCATCCTGTGAGCCTGTAGTCTCAGCTTCTGGTGAATCTACCTTGAGAGACGTACAAAATCTGGGTGAAGTCTAGGCCAGCCTGAAGTACACCCAGTTGTAACAACAATTACTCAGTGCCACCAAATCCTCACTCCTTCCGCAGGAGCAGCAGCAGTACTGTGAATCAGAGCCACAGCTGCCGATACTAAAGAAATTACAGGAACTAAGGAATCAGAGCAAGGCAAAATGGCTGCTCAAATAAGCAAACATGATGAAACACAGGGAAAGGAGACTTATATGGAATGTGGATGAGAATTTCCATTCATCCTCACTTAGACTGGGACACTTTGAATGAGATGATCAAAACTCAAGAGAATGAGAAAAATGCAGGGCTAGATATGCCAAACTGGAGTACTCAGTGCATTCACACAACCTCTTTCTCTACTCAAAGATCATACTAGTCACTAGAAATCTATTTTCTTGTTCCATATAAAAATGATACCTCCACTAATTATATGGTATTTCAGAGCTCCTGGAATTAACAAACAACATCAGATAAAATAATTTCAGCCACTCAAGTGCCCACTTAGACGTAGCACGAACGAGAAGCATGAAGCAAACAGCATATATCAAAAAATGGCTAAAGGCTGGATGTAATAGAAAATAATGTTAAATTTATATAATTTTGTCTTATTATGAAAACAAAGGAAATGACAACTCTATGAAGAGGAAGTTATAATAATATTATAAGGCAAACATAACTGCCTTTAAAGTCTTTTGCATTAATTAAGAATAATGTTAAATACAATCTCTCTCCAAACTCTTTCAGTTAATCAAAGACCCATGAAAGGAAACCAGATGCTTACCAAAAAATAAAAAAATCAAAATAAGCCTCTATTTGTCTTTAAAAATATGTTTCATTATTGCCATTTCCTGTTTTGTTCTGAAGAACAATACTTCAACAGCATGTTTTAGTCACAGGTTTTCAGAAATGATTAAATAAGCGTTTCTAGTTCCACTTTTATTGTTTTGAACACAGGTTTACTTGTACAAAGCTTAGCAAAAATGATCCACCAGTGGAAAGAATTTCATTCACTAAGTCGAAGAGAGAGACAGAAGAACATACTGAATTTACATATGGCGCTATACTAATAAGTACATACTTTGCTGCTGCTGCTTTTTCACGATTTCTGTCACCTCCTGTGGCTTTGTCCTTGCTGCACTTAGAGTCCAGTTCTGATCCACTGCTACTGGAGTCCCCTCTGGTTTTCCTTTTTGTCTTCTTATGGTGGTGATGCTTTTTCTTTTTCCTTCTCTTACTTGACTTTTTTGGATTCTCATCTGTATCACTTTCCCCTGACAGATCTGATCTTGAAGTATTCCTGCTTGGAAACAACTCCTTAAATATTTAAGTAGTAAAATTGTAAAAAAAAAAAAAAAAAATCAAAAAAATCACCTTTGCATTCATTTTACCCTTTATCTTGATTCTGCCTTTTTTTTTTTTTTTTGGAGGTGTGAGCTAACAGCAATACATACATGTGAAATAAATCTGCATTAAATAAAAATCATCCTTATTTTTTTGGATTCTGGAATTGCTGACTACCAGTCTTAAAACTTTTAATTGTCAAAGGCATGTGTGAACTACATAAGCATCCATCTGTTATCATCACCAAATTAGAGGATGACTTGATTTTCAACCTGAGCTGATATGATTTCATAGCAACTTTGCTAAGCCAACTCTGGTCAAGTTATAAAGATCAGAAATCTTTCAGGGAGAACTGCAGAAGAAAAAAATGCAAATGTCTGCACTCCTTTTCCATCTTTCTTTATGATTTACATAAGAAATATTGAACACGTATTTTTTAAAATCACTTTCGGACTAGAAATTCAAATCTTATCTCTCAAGGAACAATTTTGGGTGACTACAGCATTCATGCTATCATATAATATAATGTAGTAACAAACACTATGTGCAACAGACAATTAACTTATTGAGAGGTCAAAGAAAAAGGAGTTATTTTTGCCAAGAAGTATGCATTTCATTGTACACACTACCGATACTCCCACACTTAATGATTAGCTGGAATAATAGAAGTCTTTGCTTAAGAGCCAATATATCTAACCCCTTAACTAAAACACAAGCTCCTTTTAAACAGTGTCTGAAATTTCCAGGAATGCTTCAATTAAAAAAGAAAGGAGAAAAAAAAAAAAGGAATGACAAGGCTCAATATTCATAATACATCAGCAAAAGAAAATGCACTGTTTCAGAAGCAGGGCACATCCAAAGAGAGGCTTGCACAAACCAGTGCCTGTATTTAAAGGTAGTAGGAAAACAGATGCCGCAGGAAAAGTGATGAGCCTGTCTTATAAACTAACAAACAACCTCCCTCCACACACAGTATGGTGGAGTTTCTACTTTTTATTGAACTGAGAGCGTACACTAGCAATAGATAAAAAGACAAATCAAACAGACATATTTCTCTATATACTTCTGACAAATTCTTTTCAAAGATTAAAGTATGGTGTTTTTATTATAGTATTCTGTTTGAAGGGCAATTTGTGAACTTCTTAGCTTCATAACATTAACAACCTGAAAATATTGGAAGAAAAATAAATGACTGATTAAAAAAGATTTCATTCACACAGTATATGTATATGTAAACATAAGAGGCATATGAAAAGATGTACTCAGCTGTGATTTTTACAATAAGGATATTTTCTATCACTACCAGCAACAGTCAGCATAAATAGATGAAGTTTTTTCAAATCAAGCGTGATTCCAAACTCCAGAGGTTCCAAATTCTGCAGCTGAAACTTGACACCATTAACTATTAAGTCTTGGTTGTAGACTAGATATGAAGAATATAACACCTATTCTAGTGAAGGTCGCATACTACAACCAACTCTCCAGCAAACTTGCCTGCTAAAAGCTCATTTTTATCAAAGAATATCATCAGCCACTTCAGTGATCAGTATGTTCTGTACAGCTGCATAACTTTATATATGCAACATTTCATTAATTCATATATTCAGCTAGTTTTAGAAAAGTAAAAACTTTCCTATACTTGACTGTAAAACGGCTGATTGAACCGGTTTTCAGACAGAACTCACAGAGATGATACTTAATCTTTACATTATTTCGAGGGTCACTTAGGACATTCAAAAGCTAATGAAGAATCATGATCACGCAGTTCCCTCTCTCCGCCACACTAACAGTGATTTAAATGCAGCTGGGCGAAAAAGAAAATGGGAATGCAATTATATAAGTATAACTTCTCATTATTTTAAGTTAAAGGACAGAGAGGCATTATTCATGCCTTTATACATGACTCAGTTTAGGCCTTTTAAATAGGGAACAGCGAAATGAAAAGCAGCACTACAAGCTCCTGATTTTGGTCACACATAACAAAAAATAAGCAGGACATAAGAAAGAGGCTATTTAGAAAGATATTGAAATATACTCTACCTTATTAGTGGCGATTTTTCAGGGGCGAGTTTTGCAACTTCTGTAGTGCGCTGATGCAGTAACAGTGCATCTTCTGTTGAGAAGCTCGGGTTACTAAGCCAGTCCAATTCTACAGGTAAAGAAAAATGTGAGATCAATACAAATTAGCTTCCTGTGCTTTCTAAAAGTTGGGGATCCGTCTTATCAGCAGACAGCTAAATTCAGAGTAAATGTCACTAAGTCATTCGTAACAGTCGTGCATTTTGGAAAGTCCATGAAATTTCTATTTAGCAGATCACTATGTCTCAACAAAGTGAAATACTGGGGAACTGGAATGTTCCCATGACATCAGGCTAAGCTTTAAGTTAAAAAAACAAAACAAACAACCTCCCCAAACCCTAACATGTAAAAGTTCATACTAGAAAAAGATAATATGATACATGCAGTGCTATACTTTATACGGTAAACAGTAATAGTGGGGAGATTTGTTTTTTAAAGATCCCAGTCTGGACAGTAAAACTGAAAAAATTACAGAAGGACTTAATTAACTGAGAAGTGCAGTTAATGACTGCAATACAATTTATGTAAATTTACAACACTACAAAAATATACTGTATGGAAAATAACACAATGTTATTGAAAATTCTTATCAATAATGGATGTCCCTATCAGGTTTTTTTTATATAAGGTCACAACATATCACTAGATGCTCAGTTCTCTAACCACTGAAATAACATTACCCTTTCACACAGTGTGGGGGGAAAGCTACCTGACATTAATTTTGATATATTAGTCAGTATTTCACATTTTACATCTAGACCTGAAGCTTTTAGATCCGCATCTAGATGTTGACAGGAGAGGGAAGGGGGATTTTTTGCTAATTTGATTTTGGTAGTTTTAATAATATTGAAATATTTATTTAAATTTGCTCAGAGATTTAATTTCTGGAATACTTTCAAGTATGTGCAAGTAGTCTTCTGCAGTCATAAGAAATGTTATTAAGCACAGGCACAGAATTTAACTGCAGCCCTTCCAGTGCCATACCACTGGAGACAACAACAAAAGGAATAAACTTCATATCCCTGCTGCTTCGACATGCTCTTTACAATCATCTTTGCCTCAGTGATCTTCCTGTTAGTTACACTCTTGTTTCTGCGCTTTTGATTACACTGACCTCTAGTTCTTAAACAGCATGGACTCAATTGTCTGCCAAGCCAAATCTTTCTCCTCCTTCGAAAGTATTTCAGAAAAAACTCATCATACCAAAATTCTTTCTTCTGTCTCATGTCCCTGAACGTTGTACACAAGAGGACTTAAAATGGAGCAGGCTGCAAAATAGTTTACTGTATTTTAAACTCATCAAGAAGTAAGAATCACCAAGCAAAGCTCCAGCCCTCATCTCCCAAGGCATTGTCCTAGCTGCCCTAGTGAGAGTGACCTTCCCTGTTTCGTGTGAACCTGGATCTGCGTGCAGTGAAGAACCCACAATCCAAGGAATGAGAACTGGCAAGGACCAAAGACACTTCCCAGAAGTTCCCCAACCAGTACGCCACACAACGCTGTCCTGCATCGTTCTTCAACTCATCAGAATACATAACACAGACTAATAAATAAAAATTCAGCTGTATAGTTTCTATAGGTATTACTGTATCCTTCTGCCCAGCAACCAGAATGGCCATACGTAGGGCAAACGCTGTATTTCTTCACTGCAAATCATCAAAAGAATAATTTTGTTCTCCAGGAAAATACTTTAAAGATATTAAGTTAAAATTAGAGTAAAACTGAGCACTTAAAACCATGATCTTGACTTGTCTATTTAAAGCCTGATATAAATCCATTATTTAATTCAATTTAGTGTACAATAATCCATTCTGTCACAGAATCCCTCATTTTAAGTACATGTCTTTGATTCTTCATCTATAAATCTACCGCAGAGCATTCTTCCAAAGCACTCGGTGAGCTTAATGATGAAAGACTTATGCTGGATAATTTCCAAGCAACATTTGACTCACCTGTCAAAAAAATTATTCAGTCTGCTGGGGAATAAAGTGCTGTACAATAATAAGCTAGTTTCTTACTTAGTTCCTATAAGGATTATATTAAGAACCAACCTACAATCAGAATTATTTCTAAAAAGAATTGTACTTAGCATTTTCCAAGAAATACCAAAATGTTTTTCATGGATAATTCTGTAGCAATTCCATATTAAAAACACACACAAATTCAAAAAAAAAAAACCCAACACATCTGATAACTCTATATCAAGGTAATAATTCAATAAACGTCACACTGTAGAGTTCTGCCTTATACCTGACACTAACATGATCTTGATTTAAAAAAATTAATATCTTCCAAAAATTTAATTATTTCTTCTCACTTTCATCATGGAGAAAGGGTATAAAAGAACACAGGAGCAAACTGTATCCCTGAAGTATTTCTTCATCCCTTGCATCTGTATTTAAGGAAGCACTAGAGTGAATTCAGAGCAAGTACATTGGTTCAGATTACTCCAGATTTAGATAAATGCAACTAAACTCGATACTCGGTAATCTGTGCATATGGCCTTTTGTTTATTTATGGAAATAAAGGAGAACTTTAATTCTCTCTTTTAAAAAAAAAAAAAGCCTTCCTTTTGATTTGTGTAATATCACCCAGATATACTTAACAAAACAGAAACATTTATTGCTTGGCAGGGTCACTTAAGTAAAGGTATAGGACCTAACAGTACAAAACCAGAACTTACTAGTCAGAGAGACCGCCTTAAAATCATTACAGTTATTCCAAAGATGTATTACACATATTTAATTTACATTTGGCCAGATCTCTAATAACAACCTTCAGACATAGAAATGTTCTTTGCAGCCTTAGATATTCTCTTTATTGTTAATAAATTATTGTTTCCCTATGTAACGTTTAATAACTTATTTAATAGTAACATTTATTTTGGCTGAAATAACACATATTCATTGCAAGGTAGTTCTATAGTGATCTGAACAAAGAATTATGGCTCCAAATGACACTAGATATGTTAATACCAATACCCATGACGCTTCTTAATAAAACACTAGCTTAAGTTTTTCTTAAAAAAAGTAAGCTAAGGCAGAATTAAGTTAAATAATTTGCATTAAGTTATATGGAGCTGTTGGTGACAAAATCCAGAATTCAACAGTTGCAAATTTCAAATCATTAGGAAAAAACTCCCAAGATACGTCTAACATTTAAGGCCTTGCTTCAGGGTCTTTTACAATGCTGTAGGTGTCAAAATAGGCTTTTCATTGATTTCAAGAGCATAATATCAGGTCCTCCAAAGACTGATGCATGTAAGTGCATTTTTCAATATTACTTGACAGTTAAAACACTGTGGACAGACTGAACACAGAGGGCAGAGAAAAAATTCTGCATACCAAAGACCATGTTAAATTGTTTAACCTTGAGCCTTAAAGCACTACAACTGCAAAGAACTTCCAAATGGATATACAGATCCTTAGCAGGACCAGAAGTCTTTGAAAATTGGAAAATAAAAAGCATCATATACATTTCTCTTTAAAATATCATTATTCATCACATTGACAATAATCAACAGAGAGAAAAATAAACAAAGACAGCAATAAACCTTCAGCTCTTTTAAAAGCCACAACAAAACATGGGGTTGATCAACCATATAAACTTCCCCGAGGCACAAAACATACTTGCAGACTGTAAGTCAGTCTAAACAAGAGACTACACCTGAACTAGCAGAAGAGTTGAAAGAAGTTATTTTTGTACTCATCTGTTTAAAAGACTGTTCTAAGACAAGAACCACATTCTTAAACAAAAAAGGATGAATTGGGAAAATATTCAACTTCCCTCCATCCCCGCAAAAAAAAGTTAGCAATCCAACAAACTTATCCTGCAGCTCACAGAACGATGAAGCCTGAATTTCTGAGTTGTGTCCTACGTCCTTTATACTCCCCACCACTTCAGCCACTTTAGGTATTATCCAGCTTGTCTAAACTGTTCTACAATACTTTCCTAAGTCCTTTAATTATTGGAGGGGCAAGAGGCAGCTTGTGCTGCATCAGGTTCTGATCTCCAAAAACGTTTATTAGCTGGCTAATGTGCACATGCAAGCCCATCTATACTGATAACACTTCACGTTACAGCTTCTCCCTCAGCAGCAGCAGTTATGTAGATTTGTTTTTTTATAAGTAAATTTGGATTTTCACTCCTTTATTTTTGCCTCTTCTCTCTCCCACCCACAACAAATCTGACTGAAAGGGTTAAAACTCCTGAGGGAGAGACGTTGGGAAGTTGACTGGCAGACAGATGCATGGCAAGCACGTGCAAGATTCACTTCCATAGGAAATTTGCTTTAAAAATAGGAAAATAACATATATTATCACCATACACTGCTATTAACGAACTTCTAAAATACAGTTTTGATTTAACTTTACCTGAAAGTATCTGTTATTCCCTTACATAGGTGAAGTCACTCGTTAAACTTAGTACAATATGCTTACAACACTAAGCACAAGCAGGATAAAGTTTGATGGTTTCAATTACTGTTTTAAAGCTTCAACAAAGGAAAACTGACCTTGAGAAATGGAGTCAAACGTTAATCCCCTGGCTGCGCCTGTAGCTTGGTTCTACCTGAGCAGATGAGATCCAATTGCATTTTTAAAATACTGAAGACTCACCCTGCAAAAGCCAACCCCTGTAGCACAGTCAATATGCCGCTGCAGATACACCAGGGAAATGTTTAGAATTCTCCAACTACAGTATTTTCTGAACAATTTCATCAAACTGATCTAATACTCTGGGAAGAACTGAACAAATTTTTCCATTATACAACACGCAAGTTAAAATGTTCTTGTAAATAATCGCCAGTGAATCAGTTAGCTAGATACAAATATTTCAAACATTAAAATGCATTCCCAATTTTAAAATTTTATATTTTGTTTTTAATTATTTTTTCTTGTCAGGTGTCTAAAAAGTTTAGTATTTTCAGAGACAGGATTTACGTTCGTAAAGATCTTTTGTGATAAAATGCATGCATTGTTTACATCTACTCTACTATCCTCATTCATGAGCACAACAGTAGTAGTAGTCCCATGGCACTCTCTTTATACCTTCCCAAGCCAAAGACGACTTACGGTGCACATCCACAGAGACAATTTTTAAGGCAATACCTTCTCCTGCCCTTCAGGATCCTGAAATTCTGCTTTTAGTAAAACTCATCGCATCATCCTAATTATAGGATAGTTCAGATTGTAAATAACGCTGTGCATTGTGCTTACTACTGTCAGTGAGGCTAGTTACTACCCTTGCTCTGTGCAGTAGCACTACTAATAAATTTGCAATTTCTCTCTTACCAAAAAAATAATTAAGCTTTACAATGTACCTGTAAGGAAACATGTATGAGATTATTTTGTGCTCCGGAGGTGGCTGCAACTCAGCAATCTAGCAGGACAGCTAGAGCGTACAGCAGTACTTCTGTTTCAGACACCACTTCATTTATAAATGGTTTAGGAAAGTTTATAAGAACAGACATAAGAAAAAAGAAACATGGCCAGAATATTAATACATCATTACCTCAACTTTTATAACACTACAAAGCAGTCCTGAATGACTCCAAAAGGCACCTCAATTTTGCATATCATGTTAAAAACAACATGATCTCTGTCTGTTGTGGACTTTGGCTTCCTACCAGCTCTGAGAATCATCTATCAGAGAGATACCAGAGTTGCCAGTCAAGTTCTCAAGTTCTCACAGGCTGAACGTGTGAAATTTGATATATGCCACCATAAATGTGGTTCTAAGTTAATACTTAATTTTTACAACTTATACTAACGTGTGGTAGTTAAAAACAAAGCACAATATTGGCTAAAACATAAAATGTACAAGGGATGTTCCCTAAGGTTTTGTCAATAATACTCTGAATAAAGAATTTCCAATGGACCCCAAAAATAACTCAAGAAACAGCACTAATAACTGGAACCTAGATCTGAAAGTCAACCTTAACCCTCTTTTCTGTGTAAGTTAATCTTCCAGACAGGTGGTCTGTGGTGACAAAGAATATGCATAACGAATCTAAAGGCTCAATTTCCAGACTTTTAAAACATAAGCAAAAGTCTCCACTCCTAGAGAAGTCCTGCTGTACCTCTGCTTGGCACAGCAGCTCCTCTCTTTCTAAAAGCTGTAATTTGGGATCTTATTATGTTCACAATTCCCTGCATCAAGTGTCACTACCAGAAAGGTTCCCCAACATGGCTAAAATGTCTCTGTACTGGCAGGGTGAGTATCAACAGCTTCAATACCATCTGGCGGAAACACAGAACTGGTTAAGACACAGGAAGACATTTGCTGTGGGGTCTAGATGATAAAACACACCCAAGGGTGGTAGAAGATTGCAAACCAAAAGCATAGTTCCAATTATCTCCTGACTGAATAAATGTTGCGACTGAATGGATACCTTAGAGTCTGGTAATACACCACATAGAGTGCTTCATTCATTTAATAAAGTATAACTTGCTAGAAAGCAATCATGACAGCCAAAACAACAACCTGAATCATAATCTTACTCATAACCTGCCAAAAATATCCTTTACAACTGAACTTTGGCTTAGTAATTATCAAGCAAGTAAGGTAATTGAGAAAACACAGTATTTTTTAAGTTATGCAAGACCAGTGGAAAAAAACACTGATGTTTTCTGCATAAAATAGAGCATATCATCTCCAAATGCACATACAAAGATAACTTAGACGCTTGTTATTTTCAACATTAACATGCGCTTAATTCTCAAAAATAAATGTTTCTACAACCACGCCTACAGAATCTACCAGCAGATAGCTGGAAATAAATCTGAACGTGCCTAGAGTGCGTATGAGAACGTCTCACTGAGAACCCAGCCTCATGTTGACGCAGATGTCTCTATTTCCAAAGTTACATCACAAAAAAAATAATTCTATTCCAACCGATGGCAACTTTATTCATATTGAAAATGACATGTATTGCAGAGAGTAACAAACACAAAGTTTTCTTCCAGTTACCCACTGTATCAGAGAACACAAGACGACTGCTCTTATGCAAGAATACCTAACACGTGCACGAAGCAGGTCTGCATTGATCTGGCTAAGGAAAAGCGACCCGGCCGTAAACACGGCTCCCAAGCCTTCAAACATGTCTCAAATCACCGTTGCTGGAGAGCCGCATGCGCCGCTGTTAACAGCTGCGGCCCAACGGCAGCGCCCACCTCGCCGCGCGCGGCGCCCCAA